ATTATTTTTTTCCCCTTTCTCTTTTTCCCTCCCTTTCCTCCCTCTCCCCGCAGCCAGGACTGGAGTCTCCTCAGCGAAACTCCGGTGCTTTCGCAGCCGCAGTGAGTACAGAGAAGGGACCCACGTCTTGCCGGGGGGATGTTTGTAACACATCTTCGTGGCCGCTGCCGGGCGGCGGGGCTCCCGCTGCTGCGCCGGGCTCTCCTCCCCCAGCCCCGCGCCCAGGGATGCAGAAGCATCTTCTCCTACCGCAGCTCACGTAGAAGGCAAAACCAAGCAGGTTTGTCTCCCAGGTTTCCTTAAAAAAATGGCTAGCAAGGTGTATCTCCCGGCCGGAGCTTTTCATGACCTTGTGTTACATTTTAAAACCAGACAGGCGAGACAGGGGGGAGGAAAAATCCACGCTTCTTGGCTTCTGTGACACAGAGGCGAGAAAATTATCTTCGGATGTGAAGTACATGGCACATTTCTGAGAGCCAGATGTGCCAAGCCTGGCTCTGCAGCCCTAATTTACAGAGCCCCAGTCGGAAAAAAATAATAATTCACTTCTGCCATGGCTCTGAGTGGTAAAATGGCTTCTGCGTTTTGAAGAAGCACTAAGTACAAATCACCAGGGACATTTTACAGTGCCAAAGGTTCCTGCTTGTCATTTTCTACTTTTTCCCTGTTTGAATTACCTTTCAGCACAGTATCAGCTGTAATTCTGCGAAGTTCAGTTTAAGGATCTACGAGAAAGAGAACTCTCCTATGTTGGATACTTCAGAATAACCTTGACCTTTGATTAGTGCTTATCCCACAAGATAAGTCATGCAGGGAAAGCAGGGAATTGGGCAAGGCACCTGCAAAAGCACAAATGAAATGGCTCTATTTTTAAACTAGTGTTAAAATGGCTTCTGAATCTGACAAAACAAGGGGCACTCAGGGGCTAAAAGACAAAATCTAGAGCTCGGTGGCAAATTTCAGTTTGACACACACAGGACCCCGAGCCAATTTCCTTCATCCCCAGATGCATTTTGTGCCGTTGGTGCAACCAAACTCAAATTGCCAGAAAGGGTAAATTCCCTCTGAAAGAAACTGAATCAGCCAAAAGTATAATCAGCTTTTCAGAGAAGGACAAGACCACTGAACCATGTTTCCAATCGCATTTCTTTGTTCCTCTGTAACTGTTTTCTGGTATTTGTAGAAGTAATTATAAGGGCCACTAGCATTTATGAAATTTTTTAATTAAAGAAACCTAATTCTGGGTAGGAAGCTTGAAACATTTTCTTCACAGTGCAGCCAGTAAAAGGTTAAAGTTGATTCACAGCTCCTGTGAAAGTTTTCCTTCAGCAGATAGTGCCTATCAAGATGGTCTTTCTTTCTCCTGCTACATCCTGAGAGCAGGAAACGGGGCAGCATTTATATTGCAACACAGCCCTCTTCACTCCTCAATATTAAGATTATTACCAGCACAATGATATTTTAATGAACACTTTTATACACGGAGGTAATGAACATTTAAAGGAACAGATACACAGCACAAACCACAACAAAATGCAATGCCTTGTAGGAACACTGAGTATTCAAAAGCTTTTCAGGGTTTGACCTTAATGAAACACAAGAGCAATCCTGGGTACAGATCACATTTATATGCAGAGTATACTGCAGGCCGGAATGAGGGCTTCTGCTAAAGTTAATTGTAATTTTCTGGTGAGGGAGGATCGAATGGTCAGGCCTGAAGTTATTAACATCTATTCTGATGGAAATAGGGACATTGGGATACACTTTGTCAAATCAAAAAGAGTACTTTCTGCTTCAGATATGTTACCCCAGAGGTGATGTACCACCATTTGAAAATCTGCACTTCCAAATCAGGCATGCCAGGATGGGACTGAATTGATCAGTCAGGAACTTTTGCTTGCATCTAGTAATGCTGGAGAACAGGCAGAGGAGATTTTCAGTCCACACTAGCTGGAATATACACAGGCCTGGAAATCAAGCTGTTAACTGCTGTAAATGCTTCCTACAGAATGGACTTTTAAAAATTTTCTGAAAGGAGAAGTACACTCTGCTAGAAAAAGCAGTTTTTTCTCTGTACATAACATAGTCCTTGAGGGTGTGACTGTAGGTACACAAACAAAGCTGTATTTAATCTCTCTAAGAGAATTTTATAGAGAACATCTGTTTAAGAGAGAAGTGTATTTGTTTCATGAGCGCTGTAACATTTAGTAATATCACTTCCTTGCATCAACACATATGCTTAAAATAGTCCAATGTCTGTGGATTTTTCAGATGTAATTTGTTTTAGCTCCTGTAAAATAGGGGCTGCAGACAAAGAGCTGTGCTACACTTTGATACAGTCACAGTATTCACAATCCAGCACTGTATGGATGTGTTGCAGAGAACAACAATTTCCTTCCTGTACAAGCATTTTAATTTATGGAAACATACTGTTTTGTGTAAAGAAGGTAGTAGATAATTAACAGTATTCATTTAATCTAATTATAGGCCTCTGAGGCAAAAAGCTGACACTTTTCATTGTGGTATATTCAGGGAAGTTAATTGAAACAACATTGCAGCCACAAGGCATAACATGCCCATCGTATATTTGATACTAATTCTCTTCTCAAAAACGGGATGAATCTGATGCTCGCTAGAGATAAGAATTGCTGTTACTCACTCGAGTAAGAAAAGTCTGGGGAACCTCATTATGCAATGCTGCAGTGCACTGCAATATCTCTGCAATTCCAGAGCTAACCACAGACAACTTAATTTGCCAAATTGTGAGACGATTTTGTAATGTACACAAGTATCTACTACAAATTAAGAAAAGATTGAGCACATTTTTAGCTGGGACGTAGGTCACAATTTGAACAGAGATCTGCCTCAAGAAGCAATAGGTCAATGTACCAACTTTTAGCTCTGTTTAATCTGTAGGAGGAACCGAGCAGTAATAGCAACCTTATCCCTAGGAGTTGTTATTAGAAGTGTAGTTTGTGGATTTAAGCTATCAGTATGATAAACAGATAAACAGACAGCAAATCAGCACTTGCAGATCCCAAGTATATGTATAAAAAAGTCAGACCATGTGCAGAGTAATTTTTTCTATCACCTGATATACACCAACAACTCAATCTTCTGACAGCACTGCTGCTTTCATTCTCAAAAGGAAAGTAAAGCTCAGCTCTGCAAAGCTCGCCTTCAGCTTGCAGAAAATGTGACAGCCAAACACACTATTTGTGGGAAAGCATTTTCCATTTATGTTAAAGAAATTCCAATTTTTTAAATAAAAATGGCAAATGCTTTCAAGCTGAATCATCATGGTAGGGGCAAATTTCAATGTTTCCCCCTGTTTTGCCACTGAAGGAGTAGAACTGGTGTCTCTGCAGCTGCAGCAGTACCACGGGGCAGGACATGTCCCACTCCCCTCCCTGGCTCAGTGACCTCCACCTCTGCTTTGCCCGTGGGCAGCACCCAGCCCTTTCCCACTCTCTGTGCCTGTATCTCCAGGCGATGTTTCTGGCTGCTGGGAGCTAAAATTGCCAAGGCAGTGCTGCTGACCCCTGTGACGAATTCCACACAATGTAATGGGGATGGTGCAAGCCCTCTTCGAGGACAAACACCCACAGTGAAAGGCCATCAAGCTGAATTCGGGGCCTTGCTTTGTTCTGCCAGTGAGAGACACTGCTGGCAGCCCTACCTATCATTTCAAAATTACTTGTAGCATTTTCAAATGTATTTTGCAGAAATACTTTTTACTCTGATTAAAGAAAGCCGTATATTGTACTTTAGGCATTTGAATGTTTGTTAACAAAATCAGAGAGAGGAAGCCTGAAAAATAAACAGATAATGACATGCGGTCACCTTAACTCCAGGGCTCTGGCTCAAGAGATCCAGAATATGCGATAAAGATCTCTAACAGGAAAAGAAAATGTGGCTATAGATGTTAGTCATACCTGATTCCTGTTCCTATACCATTACAGATAAATCACAATTTGCATTTATGTCTGACTCAGAAGATCAGCCTAGTCTCAGAGTTCAGTCTGTACTCACACCCCTTCTTTCCCTTGATGCTCTTTCTTCTGCCTGGCTCCTGCCTTCTCTTTCTCCTCTGTGCTGTTTTAAGGTAACTCCCAGCTCTTCCACACTGTTTATCCACCCCTCCATTCCCTGGCTCCTGCCTTCTTACACACTTCACACTCTGTTTCCATTTCCTAGCTTCCCTTGTTTCAGCCACACATCCACCCTCTTATTTTTTCTTAATTATTTCCTCTGGCATCTTATCTTTATCTCCATGATGCTTATTAATTTCCTTACCCAATATATCATACCTTTTCCCACAGCTTAGCAGAATCTCTTTATGTAAATATGTATAACCTTTTTTTTCCCTAGTCATGCAGAACTGCTTCCACAACTGATTTCTGTCCATGATGTCCTAGGAGAATTATTACTGCTCAGCAGTAGTTGTCTTCTTGGACTCTACTGCCTTCATCTTCTCCTTCCTCTCATTTTCTGCTCCCTGGTTGCAGACCTCCTCCCAAACTCTTTCATCTTCGTCACCCATCCTCCTTTTCTCAGCAGCAGCAGCAGCAGGAGAAAGAGAGGTGAAGCACAGAGGAGAGGCACCCAGATCTCACAGGAAGGGAGGAGCGCTCGTGGTCCCTTGGGCACAGACTGTGCCTGGTTGCTCCAAAAAAGCCCCCGAACACAGAGTGTGCTCCCTCAGCTTGGGCTGGCCTTTGGAAAACTCAGCAAAATGACAAAATTTAATGATTCTTAACCAATCACATTCAAACTGAGATTTGTTTATTTTTTTAGTATTTTAACTTTTTTTACATTTGGATGCACATCTGTGAAACCACAGCAACGCTGCTGCCAAATTCCAACTTGCTGCTTAAAAGGCGCATGGATGAAAGCAGGCCAGTGATGGTGTTCCATTTCAAATTCCTTCTGTAATGGGGATACCAACACTTCTAAATGAAGCAACCAGATTATTATTTTTTAATATGGGCAAAATATTTTTTTAACCTTGTTCTTGAAAATTACTACAGTGGTTTAGCTGGCAACTGCCAAAAAATAAACCTGAGGCAGATGCTTGGCTTGGAAAATACCAGCCCAGTGACAAGCAACTGAAAACAAGATGTTATTATGAAGAACTGGACAAGGTTAAGCAGAGCAGTGCAAGACTTCTAGGTAACCTGCAATGAATTTCTTAATAAAAAGTTTGTTTAAATTAGCAGAACTCAGTCAGATTTCACCTTTTGGGGTGAAGATATTTCCTCTGAAAATGAAAATTAAAATAAAGGAAAATGAATCCAGAGTGTTTTGATGTGAAGAGGGAGAGGGGAGTGTGCTCAATTGAGATTGGGAGCACTATAGCTGAGGACTGGACCATTCTCTTTGGCAACCAAACCAACTTGAAAGATCTACAGAAGTGCAGAAAATAAATGATCCGAAAGTATTCTGTGAAAATGAAATTTTACAGAGACAGCAGAGTGAACAGGGGAAGAAATTATTGGTGGAATAATGTCAAAGCAACAGAAAGGGAAGTCCAAATATTTTGTTAGCTTTGGGTTTCCTAGATATCCTCATCAGTGCAGTTTACCACAAGCCCCAGGGAAAGCATCATCCAACAGTCCCCAAAAAGCACCACATCTCCCACAGTTTGATTGTTTGCCTTCTATGAAAGCCGAGGCAGCTCAGGAGTTGCTCCCTATGTTGAAAGCTGCGTTTCAGGGCAGCAGGGGTGGCTGTGGGAGTGGTGGCAGGGAGGACAGCTGAGGTGTGACCTGTTCCAGTCCTGCCACGTTCCACTGCCTCCCTGCCAGAGACTTCCAGAGCAGGTTCACAGCAAGAGTTACAGCAATTACCACCGAGTGCTGCTTGGCACCAAAACCTGTCACCCCATTCCTCTGCTAGGGATGAAAGTAAGAGTGACAGAAGCCCTTTTTTATTGTACAAATTAACTGCCTGTTAATTTGCAAGTATAAATGTTTTCTTGTCTATAAAATTAATACTTTTAAATACTTTTAGCTGATTTTAGTGTCACTTGACTGTACCATTGCCTAAAAGATATGTTCTTGTTTGAAAAGAAATTAATTGAGGAAGTCCTGTGACCTTTGTTTTGCAGGAGGTCAGAGGAGGTGAAAATGTTGGTCCCTGTGGCTATCTCACCTCTTTTGGTCTGTTTGTCTGGGATTTTAACAGCAAAACTACACTAATGCTGTAAACTTTCTCTGCAGCTAAAATATTCTGAAATCTCTTGCACAGCCTGTGTTTGAAAATTTTTCATTGCATTTAAGCAAAAAGCTTTATGTTAATGGTCATGATTATCCAAATTATGGTCAAAATGGTGACCTGTGATAACACTGGAGATCAGTATGAAATTAAAACTACTCTAATAAAAAAAATAAATCTGTTTTCATAAACAAAACGTTGAAAATTTTTGCTAGGTACTGTTGTATGGCACACAAATTCTTTTGCCTTTCTTAAATATGCATGTGTTTGTTATGTTTAGATTTCTTTTTGGGTTTAATACTAGGCCTGGTCTGGCAGTGTTTGGCTCTGGGACCACTGCAACACTTACACAATGTACCTTACCCTCCAAGGTATCTTATGCTCAGCACATTCTTCCTTCTGATACAGTTTCCTTTTTTTTTAAACAAAAAACAAAACCAAAGCAAAACAAAACCAAACCATTAAAAAAAAAAGTAGGAAAAATTGGGGTTTAAGGATAGCAGAAAACTTGACAACATGATCTAATGAACCACAAAGCAGCTTTCAAAGAGAAAAAGTAGCAGGAAGTTCTTTCATACCGGTATTAAAAATAGACTGCACCAAGTCCCGGAATGCACACGGCAGTTATGTAATGATTTTTCAGTGACATGCATTAGGAAATATTCTCAGTACATATTTTTCCTTTCTAACACCCAGTTTACTTCTCTGAAGTTTGGAAATTCTTCACATGGATGTTTCTAAGAAGTCTAAAATTATAATGTTCATTTGAATAACCTATCAATTAGCCAGCCACATAATGACAACATCTAATGGTACAATTGAAGCATTTGAATTTAATATACCATTTTCATAATGGTACAATACAAAACACACGATGAAATCCAATATTTTTCCCCCACAAGTTAGGCTTAATTTATTTCTAGCAATGTAATGATTTTGCACTGGAGACACTAAAAGAGAGAAATCATTTGGGTACATATCATAAATATTGAGAACACCAGCTCCCTCGGAGCACAGAGAAGTCTCCCAAACATTTCAAAAAGGTTTATATGTTATTGGGTACTTTCTATAAATGGAAAGACTGAAGGGAGGCAGAACTGCTCTATCTAGCTGCTACCATGCCGAGGAAACTAAATGGCAAATAATTTTGAAGAATGCCTTCCTCAGACTTTTTCCTTGGAGACTTCCCACATGTCTAGGCTCTGTAACTTTGCAGTATAATTTGAGAAGGTAATAAAGGAGTTGAAAAACAGTTAAAATCTAACTTTTGGGTTTTCACAGTTGTATTATTTTCTTGAATTCCTCAATGTTCAGAACAATCTGCAACATCTGCCTATACCAAGAGTATCACACAAAGAAGGCAGCATTACTTTCACAACCTTTTCTGCCTTTTCTGCTAAAAACCACAAGTCCTCCCACAGTCTCTAGCCTTCCATGGCCACCATGAACTTACATTTTTTGTTTCAATTTATACTTCAAACCCAGCAAAATTCCCTGATGGGAAAGCTCACACATCTCTCCCACCTGTGTCAGTATTTCCTAGACTGCCAAGTATCAGGATGTACCCAGAAGCACAACTACAGACATTTTTCATCACTCACTTATGTCAGTGATGGACAGTGATAGGAAGCATTATGGCAAGTGAAATTTTGTCCAATTTTGGCTCCTACTCATAAGTTTTTCCCAGTTAATGTAGTGGAAATTAAATACCAGGAGATCCTAAATGGTCATTTATGACCATGGTAAAACAGTGAGTCTTTTTTTAAGATGAGTAAAACTCTAAGTGTTTGGTCTGGCTTTCCTGAGATATCTTTAAAATATTTTCAGAGCTAAAAATGCTTTTTGTGGAGCAAGCGAAGCTCCACACTGTTCTTTTTGAGAACAGAGAAAAACCTGATCAAAGTACAATCAGATAAAACATCTGATTTATTTTCTTTCATTGCTGTACTGGGGAATGACAGAATTAAAATATCCATGTTTGACATGTGAACAAACTGTACCACATCCAAAATACCTCATTTTGGAAAGACATAAAAAAACAACCTGAGAACAAGTCAGCATCTTGTAGGGGACCTGTTTGTTTGATAAAATATCAAGAAACATCTTAATTGGCAGTCTGAAATAAAATGAAAAGGGGCATATTGAATTGATGTCAAAAATTCATTTTAGATGAAGAGGTAGGAAGTGAACACCAGAGCTGAGGGGAAAAACATGATTTTATAAGATCAAAGTGTCTTTAAGGCCATAAAATGAGAGAAAAGCTGGTTATTAACATATCCATTTGCTTCTAAATGCTGTTATACAAATATATTTCTGGGAATCCAATGCCTAAAAAGTAATTTGTGAATAAGTCAATACTTATTTTTCTGCACTGATACACAGGCAAAGCTCGAGCTGTTTATGAGGGGAGGAACAGGGTTTCATGCATAGTATTCAGCAGTGCTCCCACTTACAGGAAGACTCATCATCCAGCCTGATTAGTTTACAGGAACTGAAGCAAACAACGTTCCGTGTTTTCCTACATATTTTATGACTATTTTCATATAAGCAAAAATCAGACTTTGTCCCTGTTAAGGAAATTTTAGAGCAAATAGAGAAGTACAGCCTCTTGTTTAATCTCCTTTGCAAGCTTTGCTCAGTAACTTGTGAATATTTCTGAGTTTTATTTGATACATTAACTTATTTTTCTATGAGGTTTGCTGCCACTTAATGTGATATTCAAGGTCAACACTACAAATGTATTTATAAATGAAAATTTCTGGTTTGGCTGAATTTAAAACCTCAAGTGTTTTCTGTCCCCAAATAAACATGGGAGGCCTCTTTTGCATATTCAGAGAAAAAAAAAATTTGCCTCCCCAAGTTTTTGTTACTTTGCTTGCAATTTTTCTTTTTTTCACAAACCTTTATTCTCTCAACTGAAGTTGCTGATGTGTCTAAATTAACAAGTCCTATTATTATATTCATAAATGGGGCAAAATTGAGCTCACCTCTGAAACCCAAAGCAAAGCTCTGCCACGCCACATTTTCATCTGCTTTCCAGAAAGGCAGGGATTATCCTGTAGCACTGAAGCTCTGCTTTCATGGTGGGAAGGAATTCTGGATTTTACACTGTTTGCTGGCTGTGCACAACAGAATAGACAATACCATCTGAGCTTGGGACAATTAACAGGATGTCTTTAGAATATTTTTATTACGTTAATCTTTTCTTTTGCTTGAGCCAGCATTCCCCTTGAGAGGAAGAGAAATGATGCTGAGACAACTTAGTATTGCAAATTAATTGTATGGTCCATTTCCCAAGCATTTAATTTGGCCTCAGCAACCTGTTCAACTCAAATGAGTTGTCAAAAACTGACACAAAAGAGAGGCCAAGTTCTTTAGAGGTGGCCAGTAATTTTAAAGGATGAAGGGAAATGGCTGGCATTATTGCTTTTGTCCATGTAAAGCCTCTTCTAAACAGGGTAAGGGAAAATCAAGTGATTTGGCCTCACCAAAATTCATGCTAGTTGAGACCTTTTGGAAATGTTTACTGAAGATGAACTCTGGACCAGAACAGAAAATAGCAAAAATATATGAAACATAAAGAAAAAAGGTGTAGCGTTTCTTACTTCTCGTAACAGGTAAGTCTGAAAATTGGGATCTAAGTTTGGGATAGGAATTGGGATAGATGCACCTGCTCCAACCTGAGCCTCTTACATGCAAAGCATGTCTCTCTACCTGCATGAGTGAAGAGGTCAATACATGAGATCTCTTCTGCTTTGAAGCCAACAAGGTCTGATCTGATTTTTTACAGCATAGCTTGTGTTTTCATTTTTAGCTCTGGTATTCCAGAAGTATTTCCATGTGTGTAGCCCTTGCCTGAGTCCACTCATGTGGACCTCTGTGATTAAGCCATCCTGGATTCCTTAACCCATTGGCTCCAGTTTTCCCAGACTCCTGCCTGGGTGCTTCTCTCACAGCTGTATGGATTTCAGCTTTTCAAAGTGCAGTTTGATTCATTCTCTCAACACAGGAACTTATCTTCAGCATAAATATTTTTGGAACCACGAAGGTATAATTTTGTAGTTAAATAATCATATTTTCCTGGGAAAACTTAAGAGGCAGTGGGTAATGCAGATTAGGATTTGGCACTTTGTCAGACTCTCAAGGAATCTCTCCCTCAGTTAACTCTATTTCACTGGAAATATTTATTGTTCAGGAAGCAACACTTAAAACTTTCTTTGCCATAGAAGAAGGTGGTCTATCACCTCAAAGAAGACTTCCAGCAGCCTGATCACTTGCTGTAATGATGTTTCCCTCTTCCATGAAGCAGATATAACCAAATGCTTCTGATAAGGAATTACTCTGAGTCTAGGACATAGATACTTCAGTTATAGGGAGTAGAAAATTAATAGACATGAATAAAATTTGGAATGGATGAAATACTTAAAATGGTGCATTTTGAAGATAACCAGTTCCCTTTTTGTTTGTGTGTCCTAGAGATGACTTCTTTTCAGATAATTACTTTTCATAAATTTAGATTCCAGAGAAGTATGATTCACAGAAGCGCAGGGATTCCTTCTACTGAGCTGACCTTGAAGATCTGTTTCGTTCTGTGCTTAGTCTCTTCTTTCCTGCCTCCTCTTATCACTTTGGAGCAGGCAGAACCATCAGTGATGTTCCCTCTGCAGGCTCCGTGCTCCTGCCAGCTCGACTGCCCTGCAGATGGTGGCCAGGAGCAAAGCTCTTGCAGGGTCTGGGCACAAACTTCTTCTAAATGTTACTCAAAAACCCTAATCTGATTCTTGGTACCAGATATCCATTCATTTATTAAGAACAAACACAGCAGACAACTAATGCTGCACTTTTTCTGTTATTCAAACCTGCTGCTAACAATGAGGAAGATGATGTCATTCCCTGGATGTGACAAAGGACTAATATTATATGCAGTAAAAACAATGAGTCAACAGTTTATATTCCCTTGAGGTCAAACCATTCAGCAGTTTTGAAAGTAGACTGTTCTTTTTTGTGCACAGAGCTTGTTGTCTATTAACACAAAATGTGTAAAATCAAGATATAATTTGAAAAAAAAATAAATTCGTACTTTCAAGGGGAATTTTTCAAACTGAAAGTCAAATTGAGATATCTGACAACATAAACCAACAGATATTTTTTTTCCCCCACATATATTAATCATAATATTGCAAAAGTATTTTCTTTTTTAGGTCAAAGATACATTATCCATGTTAAGTAATTATCTGTATGATTCTGAGAGGCACTTTGCAGTTCCCAGTAACAGGAATATGAACTGAGTATTAATGCTTAACTAAATCAAACGAAATTTTCTGGAGACATTTTGTAATGGTCTGAAAGATAAGCAAGACCTTTAACATGAACACGTGTTTTGACAGACAGCTGAAAGCAAGGAGTCTAACAATGAAAATGATGATTTTCTGGAATAGATGAGGATGGAATTGACCAGATCCTGGCCACCTCTAACCACAGCTGCACCTAGCTCAGGCTAGGGCAAGAAATGTTGTGTTCATACAGGTTCTTCCTTCAGCAACTCTCAAACCTTTGTGGAGGATTATTATCCTGCTCATACAGACTGTGAAACCACAGCACAAGGGAGTGACAGCTCAAGGTCATTTAAATGTCAGGAGAGTCTGGAAGAGAACTCAGATTTCTCAATCCCTGTCCAGCACTCTGCCCACTGGGCTCCAATGCCTCGCTGAGGATCTGCCTGATAAAGCTCCTCTTCCAAACTCGACAGAATTTAACAACTTTGAGAAGTATATTAATCATAATATTGCAAAAGTATTTTCTTTTTTAGGTCAAAGATACGTTATCCATGTTAAGTAATTATCTGTATGATTCTGAGAGGCACTTTGCAGTTCCCAGTAACAGGAATATGAACTGAGTATTAATGCAGAACTAAATCAAACGAAATTTTCTGGAGACATTTTGTAATGGTCTGAAAGATAAGAAAGACCTTTAACATGAACATGTGTTTTGACAGACAGCTGAAAGCAAGGAGTCTAACAATGAAAATGAAGATTTTCTGGAATAGATGAGGATGGAATTGACCAGATCCTGGCCACCTCTAACCACAGCTGCACATAGCTCAGGCTAGGGCAAGAAATGTTGTGTTCATACAGGTCCTTCCTTCAGCAACTCTCAAACCTTTGTGGAGGATTATTATCCTGCTCATACAGACTGTGAAACCACAGCACAAGGGAGTGACAGCTCAAGGTCGTTTAAAAGTCAGGAGAGTCTGGAAGAGAACTCAGATTTCTCAATCCCTGTCCAGCACTCTGCCCACTGGGCTCCAATGCCTCGCTGAGGATCTGCCTGATAAAGCTCCTCTTCCAAACTCGACAGAATTTAACAACTTTGAGAAGTTTCAATTCATAATATTGTTGTTTATAATAATTATATTTGGCGGGAAAGTAGACTTGCCTAATTATATGAGGTTCAAGTGCAAGGGAATCTTAGGCCAGCTGCAGTCGCCATTCCTGTTATCCTTGCAGACCAAATCTAGGGACAGGAGAGCAAACTGGCTTATCTCTAGATGGGCTTCTATGTAGGAAGAAGTATAATTTTGCCTGCATTGACCCTATCTGATCATATTTTAGATTAAAATGAGCTTTAGAGTGGAATAAATAATATTCAGCATCCTGACTATTAATTGAAATGAAATCTTAGACTGTAAATCCCAAGGAATTTCTTCTGGCATGCTGTCAAAGTGCTGGATAAAGTCTTTTAAGCTCATGCTGACTACTTTAGTATGTCACCTAAAATAACTGCAAATGGTTTCAGGCATAGGTAGTCCAGCAGATCCCAGGCCCAAGTGATTACTTACCCAAAATGTGGAGGAGGACATCTGGCAGTCCAGCTGGTCAGTGTCCTGAGATTTATTGGAGAACTAAATGCAGGAGGCATGGCTCAGTCTGATCTTTAAACTCTCTGCCTTCTGATGCTTAAGGAACTCTTACCTTTTCAAGTACTTCATAGAATATTTAAACCAAGTATCTAAGACCTAAAGACATCTCAGTTGTTTTGGGTGTTGTTATTCTGCTCAAGTGAGACCAGAAAGCTCGTTAGAACACTTCAATTGAAACACAGACATTTCCACTAACAATTGCTGTTATAAACTCAAACAAAAATCAGACAGATTTCAGACAAGACAAAATACAGAGACTAAAGCAACTTACAGAATTTCCTCTGGATGTCTCAAGTTAATTGCAAATCCTGGTGGCCTGGTATTTTCATTTCCATAGTAATGATTAAAGGCATAGTGATTTTGATCTCATGTAAGAGGGATGAAATAATTTCCCATATGAAATTAGAGTCTCCTTTTCAAGTTGTGTGATATTTTTGCAGGCAACATGTCTTACTGCCTAATGAAAGCCAAAACCTGAATTTACTGCAGGAACATTCACACACACTGCAGCCATGTAGGTTGCTGTTTGACTCCAATGACACACAAAAATATAAATATATTTGATTATAGTCATTATTGTCTATTTAATAAGTAGACTTATGAACTACAAATAAAAATAGAGGCTCATATCCAAGAAAGGATCTTCACCTGATCCTTGTTTTTACAGCTCTCATCCCAGCAATCAACTGTGAAAACTTGCATAAGTACTCTCAGTATGATTGAAGCTGCTCTTTTGTTAAACAGGGTATTACAAGTTAAAACTAGGGACAGATATTCCTATTTAGGAAAATAGCGAAGATCTTAATTAAAATGAAACATATTAGCATTGCTTTGTAAATCAAATCTTACTTAAGCAGATGACACTTCCAAAAGAAGACTGTAATGAGCCTACCCCAATGAAAAGGCATATTAATATTAGGAGGCACCAGCAGGATTTTAATTTCAAAATTTTGTAAGTATGACATCTGAAAAAAGTATACTTCTGTTCAATGTTAGTTTGACTGTCTGCACAAAAATTTCAGACCAGAAGCATTTAAAATTTATAAAGGAAAACGTATTCTAAATGTTAAATACCACAGACAGAAAACAATAAAAAGTTTTTCATGAAACTGAAACAAATCATTAGGCTTTGGATTACTTACTGTATTACTTACTGTATTACTTACTTTCTTATTAGATGTTTTTATTAGATCTGTTAGTAGGTCAGTCCTTTATTTTACGTTGCAGTGTCTGTTTAGAACTTCAACCATAACTATCATTTCAACAAATCAATGTATACAGTATAGAATTACTATAGCTTTGTATTATTGATGTGCAGTACTATTAAAAATATGAATATAGATTTAGCTATGGTCCAAGGATTGATATTTCTGATGTACTAATTTGTTTCACAGTTCTACTGTTACTTTTCTCATCTATTAAGGCAGACAAGAATGTTTCATAATATTAAAAGAAAAAAAAAACCATTTATCTGAAGGCCTTTCTAGAGAACAAAATCTGTCTTATTTTCTCTTCCCTGGTAATTTTCTATTATTGGAGGAACAAGAAGGAAACTTAATACCAATTTTAATCTATTTTCCCTGGCAAAACAAAGTAAGAAATAGGCACAGCATTCACAATATGTTACCTGTGTTCTGTCAGTTTGTGTTGTCTGTGGAGAACAGGTTGGCACACAAAATTTGAATGGCTATTGCATCCCTGTTCTGAATAGACCCATATCCCCCTCCAGGAGGGAGCCCTGATCAGTAAATTCCCTGGGTACACAGAAAGGTCTGAAGCCTACACTGTTAAAGAGAAATGGGCAGAGAGACCCTGAGAGGGGCCTTGACACATTCTGTCTGCAGCTGCAGAGCTGGGGGTCATCTCACATCCTGGGAGAAGCAGCAGGAACAGATTCCTGCTCCACACCAAGGTTGGAGGCAATGTGTTCCTGAGCAAGGCTGTTTTGGGGATGTAGGATGGAGAACAGACCTGTTCCTGAATCCTAAAGTTAGACAAGTATGCATAAAGCAACTTCAGCCAAGTGGGTACAGTCGGTGGGTTCTCTTATTGACCTAAAGAAATAGGGCAAGATTTTACCTGGGATTATTTATTTTCTTGCAGAATACATAATCTGCCCTATCAGTTAGATGGAATTATTGCCCACTCACAGCAACCTTCACAGCTAGAATGGTATTACTCATTCGCCTCAACAGAAACCTAGCACTGTGGTTTTGGTGGCACACTGAAAACTTATTATGATCTTTCTTGTGTTTCAGATGGCAATGCATTGTCTCCTTCCTGATCTTGGATTACAGCCTGAAAAAAAATAAATTAAAGTGATTAAGAGTAAAAATTTAAGTGGATTTATTTGTAAATCCTGATTGCGGCTTCCCATAATGAATCAGCTTTTTCCCTAGAAGTCATGCTAGTTAGTAAATTATCTATTTTCTAGTATTTTTTTTTTCTAGAATTTCTAGTACTAATTAGTAAATTACCTATTTTCTAGTATTTTTTTTCTAGTATTTCTAGTACCAGTTAGTAAATTATCTATTTTCCCTCGCAAACGCTGTATCATGTACGAGAATAAAATATTGCTTTTCAAACGGGAGTGGATATTATCACTTCAAATGTGCTTATATGTACTTCCTGTGCTTAGATCCAGCCCAGCAATAACAATACCACAATTACCAGAATGTATAATCTATAATGTGGCCCTGTGTAAATCAAGCCCCAGCTGAGCACGTCGCACACATCCTGCAGGATACCACTGCCATTCTCAATTGTTTCCGGTGAGCGCCCTGCATCTGCAGGAGGATTTCTGCTCACACTGACTCCTAACTCACAACTCTGCAAGTCACCTCCTCCCAGGAAGACTCTGGCATAGAGCTGAAGCAGTTTTGTTCATGATTGCCTAAATGGGAAACCAGAAAGTCAGGCTTAGGGGAAAAATAGCTTTGGATCTTTTAAAAATACTTAAGGGATTTACAATGAAAGCACAAAATTGTTGCAAGTATTACAAGGGAGAGTGTTAAGAATTTCAATTCAGTTGTTAAATTACTAAAATAATGCATACCTGGGGTTTTCACACCATGGAGACTTAGATGTATGATCTTAGATACTCATTCTCTCCCTTTAGAAGAGAGCATAGTTTTTTCTCTGTGCAAAATACCTGAAAAATAAATATTTTTGAAAGCAATTTTGCAAAGTCAAAGAAAGAGCAAAATCCAAACTAAACCAGAAATATGTCAATTTAATTTCGAGACATATTGCAGACATACACTCAGAACAATCTTACAGGAATACTCTTACAATGTCGCTGTCATGATTCAGTTAGTTCAAGCTAACTCAACAGACTGACTCAGAAATTAAATCTACTTGACCTGTTCATGGCTTTATATTTTTAGTTAGTTCTCAGATTAGATAATGACTTTTCCAAACAGATGATGAAATCAATATAAAGTTTCAAAATACTGTAAATTACTTTAAAACATAATTTATAGATATGATCCTTTAAAAAAATAGGTGGCCATTGTGTTATTTGACAACTTTTAGAATTGGACTCAATAAGCTTCTAACTCTCATTCTACTTTATAACTTGGGGACAAACCATCTTTCCTGGGTATACCTAGTTTCCACTGTGTCTCTTACAAGCCAGAAGAATTTTAGTATGTTTTAAAATAATAATGTATCAACTTAGAGGGAATGTATTATGCAAACCCTGCTATTTTTCTCTTTCTGATACAGGCCTACCAAAGAGAGATTCTAGCTGGAGGCAAGTCAATGCAATGCTTGTCTGAATGGTATTTTAAAGTATACCTTTTTCTTGCTGCTTTTGGTACAAAACTATGTGATGAATAAATGATTCAAATTTAATTTGTCCACTGCAGAAGCTGAGATGGAGTATTTCTCGTGCTAGCATGCATGCCTGGATTACAGAGGCCACTGAGGGGAGCAGGGCAGGGGTGCAAGAAGCACCATGTGGCCAAGGGTAGCTGAAGAACTGACACACACCTTCTGAGGGGAATGGCCAAGTCCTGCTGCACTTCAGCTCTTCTGGGACACACAAGTCAGTGCAGTCATCTAGATCCATACAAACAACTTTTTCCTGCAAGTTTTATTGTCTTTTCTGCACAGGACAGTACATTTGACATCTTACATTCTCTGTTACTGCCTCGTGCTTTCTCTAGTCTGAACTTTTTTAGAAAGATGCTCATAAACTTGAGCATCTGTGCAGTCCCTCTGTAAGCACCTCATACCCCTTTGGAATTAACAGGCAAGTGTAGATTAGCATAGGACAGGGAGCCTGGCTATCCCTGGCTCTAGAAAAAACTCAGGATATTAGGGTCTGATGTGCCACAGCCACTTTAGGGTAAGTGGAAACTGTCTTGGCTGAAATTGTGGATGAACTATTCTGTTTGTCAGGATTCAAGCAGATTCTGGCTGAAGTGACCCAGAAAAAAACATAAGACAGAGGCCAGTGTTGGCACAGGTAACCCTGCTAGGAAATGCACAGCTCTGCATCAGCCTGTCTGCTAAACCCTGAGCTGCCTCTTCATTTTTGTACAAGATTTGGGACAGTCACAGGCATTTGTGGATGCGGCTCTCGCTCAGCAGACAGACAGACCCATCTCTGCTCACACAAGTGGTTTAAAAAACGAGCTTGCAAACCTGTGATATCGGGCTTATGAAATAATCACTAACTCCTTAATGATGCAGATACTTTGGTATCTTTAGTCAAGCCACTAAAAGCAGATAGAATTATCTAATTACTTTTGCCTTATTTGTTGCAAACTTCTTAGCTGTGGCACCACCTTGTGGACATTACTATGTGGAGTGAGACTCGACTGGCGGCAACAAAAGCAAGTGAACCAGGCATTTTGGAAAAACAGCTATGGTCACACATGGTTTGCCAAATGAGAGTAAAATAACTACATTTTAAAAACTATTCCTCAAAATCCACCTACGAAATAAAATGCATAATAAATACCATCATTAGGATGCTCAGTTGTCTTTGCAGCTTTTACCAACTCTTCTGCCTGCCAGCCAAGAGGAGAGGCAGCCTTCAAAACTACTTTTGTTACTTCTCAATTGACTAAGTAGCAGCATCCAAACCCCAGTTCTATTCCTGCTGTACATGCAGACATGACTTTTACACCTATCTCAAGCAACAAGACTTGCAAAGTCGAAATCCTAATACTGAACACATGGAGAAACCTTGGGTCCTGCTCCATAAATGTAAGCCCAACAGTGAGATTTGTGTCCAAGCTAAGCCAAAAGAAAAACAATCTTTGACAAAGATAAATTGGTGGATCTTTTAAATGCTTGCTGACACAAGCTGAACAAAAATAAATTTAAATTCCACTCTCTTGGCCATTAAATTCTCAGAACCTTTTGCAGCTGAGGTAACAGGGTGTTCCTGTTATGAACTCCCTTATCTGCTCTATGGGCAAAGCAGGAAAGCACTGGGGAGCCAGAATTTATAACACAAGATCTCCAAGTTGAGTGCAGCACACATTCACTCTGGGTGTGTCTGTCTGAATAAACTTGGGGAGCATGAAATAAAACATTGAATTGCATTTTCTGTTTCTCTCTCTTCAATAACACACAAGCTGGTACTTGCATTAGCATAAAGTGCAGGAGGAGACAAAGACTTGGATCAATCTCAGAGTTGCTAAAATGAAATCCTGAGCACTGCAGCCAGGGAAGCCAACTCATCTCCAGTGGAGCTCATCCCTCACTCTAGAACAGACACTACTCTTGTTGCAGCTGGTGTCCTTCCTCTGCAAACAGCAGCATTGTACCTGCTTTATGAAAGAACAGAGAGTAAAATGACAACTTTTTTTCTTTATTATAGAATAAAAATTTCTTTTAAAATATGACAATGACAGCACTACTTTTACAATTCAGACATTAAAAAAAATATTTCTTAGAAATGCATTTTCTCTGTTCTTCATCTCAAAAAGATGAAAGAGTTTATGAAAAAGGCAATTTTTTTTTTCCTTTGGCATACTCCTACAGTGAACATTACAGTTATTTTATTTTTTGTGCTTGGAAATTCCTTAGCGTAAGACAGTGTTTTGAAAAAATATAGGACTTTCAAACTCCTAGTGATCATTCTCAGATATCAACTATTGTTCTCAATTTAACTTAAATATTTGTTTTGGAAAAAGTAAGGCATTGGCTACCCCTTACTCACACTGAGTGGAGAGATTCTCTTTCTCCTCAGGCACCATTAATGTAATTTTGTTCTCTGTTGCAATTAGTTGCATAATGCAGCCTCATTAATGGCCCTGAATGTATCTGCATGGAAGTTTTCATCCACAAAATTGCAGGAGCAGTTACTGTAAACATGGGGTGAGTGACACGGAAAAGACTGAACCAAGTTTATTCTCATACAGAACTCAGCTTTAAGAAATATCTTATTTCTTATTTTTTTCAGCATGTGAAAATGTTGTATTTGTGCCCATCACATTCAGCTTCCTTTCAGAAAAGATGCTAATAAACTGTGAGTCAAAAATAACCTTAAATCTCCAAAATGGTATTTTTTCCACAGACTTGGAACTCCCTTGAATATTTTAATTATCTCTTTCCTAAAAGCCAACAAAGTAGCATGACACTGGATTAAAATAATTTTCTTTGCAATTCTGCTAGAACTGATTTCTTGCTGAATTAGCATATCAACTCCAAAACCAATTTCCACAGCATCAGTGACCTTATGTCACTTTATGTATTACAGCAGCAAGAGAGAAATGCTTTCAGAGGGTTGTAACAGTTTAAAATTATCCAGTAAAAATCCACTTATTGAACCAGTACATGCAGGAGACAAAGCCTTGAAATTATGTTAACCTGTACGGCCTAAAATCAGATTTCTGCATTTTTTAAGGCTGCACCAACTGACACAGAGCTGTGGTGGTATTATCAGAAAATAAGATGGAACAGGCAGAAATCTGTTCAGGCTGGAAAATCCTGGGAGAGGGAGAATGAACAAGAAAGCAGCAGCACTCCCAGGATGAGATCACAGGGGACAGAGCCCTCTGTGGGAACAAAGGAGGTTCCTACCACAGGGAGAAGTGGTGAAAGGGACCAAACCCTACACATGAACAATTCAGGGGGGGCTTTAATAAGGGGAGAATTTTTGAGGTGAAATTCAGTAAGTCTGCAAAAAAGGATGGATAAACCCAGACTCCTCAAGCCCAAATGCAGAGCCACTTTGGTCTACATAAAAACTAAGTACCCAACTCTCTAGCTATCAGAAGACAAGGTAATATTATTATATTTTTACTGGGAATGAAGGTTGCATAAGCCTCTATGCTTATTAGATATTAGATTTAATTTCCTGTATTACTGAGAAATGGGTGACTTGGAGCTCAGCCAGGCTTGGATAGATATAATAGGCTACACATTTATAAAAGGAAATCAGTACAAGTAGGAATTGCTGCTAGAGGTGTCAATTTGAAGTAATACTCTCCCCACCAAAAACCCCATCCCACACAGGACAGGGGAGACTGAATCACAGATGTGCTGTAAAAGCATTAAGTCAGGGGAAAGTGGTGCAGAGACAGCAACCAATGACTAAGTACATTTGACCTTCATGTGTTATTTTTGTCTAAAGTCTTAATTTTGTGGTTCAACAATGGGCTCATCCCTAGCAAAATTTGATGTTCTCTAATAATTATCGCAGGTGTTACTTATACATTTATATTGTTTATATTTATTATTATAATTTATATTATTATTGTTGTTATTATAATATCTATTATTATTTATACATTTATTCCTTGGTCTGTCATTAATATATGTGACTCCATATATTGATAATAAAGAAACAGGTTATTTACTTATTGTTTCACTGGCTGAAGTGCAAAATCAAAATAAAATAAAATGCTTTATAATCTATTTATTTCCTAAATGCTTGTGCAATGTTGCTCAATTTCTTGTTTTCCAGTGTGCTTTCCTTTTTCCTTGGAGGCAATATAAAAGACAAAGAATTTTCAAAAGAAGGAGGATCTGAGAATTCTCAATACTGCAAGTTAGCTCCTTGGCATTTTCATAAAGAAAAACCACAGGTGAATTTTCCAACCACTATTCAGCTGATTTTAAAAAAATAAAAATTCTTTGCCTTTCAACATAAATCTTGTTTCAACATAAAGCTTTCGACATAAATCTTTTTAAACTATGAAAGCCCTTTTTGAATTTCATCCTCCTTATTCTGAAGGTACTGTAAGAATAGTTACAAACTTAGTGCCATAGAATATGCAATGTAATTATATATTTTGATTTTACCTCTCTCAAATGATAATATTCTCAACTCCCTGAGACATAATATGTGCTTATTACTGAAGTAATATGCCAAAATAGATTGTAATTTGTTAATATCAGTACTAGTAAGGAAGGAAAATGTGGAACAAACCAGCAAATAAATTCTGCACCATAAAGCACCAAGTATTAATTTCTAGAGAAAAATACACGTTAAAATTTTACAGAGCAAGATTAAACTAAAACAAGCGTGTTCAGATAGAGAGGTTGTTACCATCTGCAGTCCAGCTGAAGTGAGAGAACATTATGGGTATTCAGTGTCATTGAGACCCAAATAATTTCTATTTTGTATTTTCAAGTGAAATATCACTCTGATGAGACATTTAGAATACTTAGCAGCTCCCATTATGCCTTTTCTGGGCCTCAGCCATCTGGATGAATTTCTAGGGTCACAGCCTTTGCTCTCCTTAGGATTCCTCCACAGTCGAGTTGCAGCTAAAACGCTGACAAGACACAAGCAAACTGCCTCAAACATTCCCAGTCTGGAGAATCACTCAGCCCAAGCCCAGCTCAAAGCTGGATCACCCAGGGCAGGGTGCTCGGGACCTTGCTCTGTTGAGTTTGGAGTTTCTTCAACGACGTCAACTTCAAAACCTCCCTGGGCAGCCACAGGACAGATGCTCCTCTTATCCATCCTCATGGCCTTTCCTGCCCTCACTCCAGCATGTCCATGTCCTCCCTGCTGCAGGGACCCCAGAACTGGGCACAGCATTCCCACTGAAGTCTCCCCAGTGCTGGGCAAAGGGGAATGATCACCTCCTTTGATTTCCTAGCAATGCTCTTCCTAATGCAGCCCAGGATGCTGCTGGGTCTCTCTGCCAATATCGATGTTTACAGACATAACAGAAGTTTAAGGACATGATGAGTTATGTATTTCCAGGGTCTGCTCTGTATCAGGGAAATACAAACTATATTATTTTGCTAATACATGTTTTATGTCAGTATCAGGGATTGTATTTATGTTCTCATTACGTGATTTCCAAAATAACTGGCCCATTAAAACCAGTTGTTTGGGATGATTGCACAGTGCTTTGGAAAAACATCTGTGCACAGATTTCTAAAGGTAACCCTGAAAACCTCTAAATTCAGACCAGGGTATGTTCACAGGAGTGAAGGCATCTTGGAAATTGCAATTGTAGAAGATAGGAATTCTCAATTTAATTGTGTTGTTAGTGTTAAGATCTAAAGACAGCAGATTAATTACTATTATGTTTAACTCACAGATAACCTTTTGTAGCAGTAACATCCAGCTTAAAAACTTCCACAGTTTCCAAAAGCTCTCCACACTCTTTCAGAAGCCAAAAATCCAGCTCTCCCTAATGTATTCCTGAGAACCTTCCATTTCCTCTGCAGCTGCCATGGTGTAACTGTGGACAATACACTTATGTATTGACAATACACAAATTTTCTGTGGAAAAAGGTCCATAGACTTTCCAGTGGGTCCTCAGGCAGCCTAAAGCAATGAGATGGTCTATCAGATTTGTTTGTCTTGGCAAGGAAGACAGCAACCTTGTTCTCAAAATATCTACATTTAGTTCCCCATCTATAAACAATTTTCATCAGTTCTTCCATCTGCAGTATAAGTCTTTGTTTGGCAAACAATTTGCAATGTTTCTTGTTATACATGTCAAATTGTTTCTGTTCTGCATGAGCTATGATGACTTAAAGGACCAAAGTTCCATGTGGTGAAAGGAGTTTGTTCCCTCTGAATCCAGGGGTACCTTTACTGCCCTTGCTGGTCTATGATTTCTTTGCATTTTTTACAGTCTGTGACTGCAGAAAACAGGAATAAAACTCCTTGCCACTAGTGACATACCAGTGCATGAGCCAACACAGTCTAGCTAATGTCCTTTTACCTTCTGGAATAGTTTAAAGCAGGATGCAAAATATTCTTCCAAAAATATACAAAGTCCTTTCCATCCACTTTTCTGTCAAGCTATGCCAAAAGCCCTGGGAAAGCCTTTTGACTCCAGCCTACATGCTCAAAAGAAATCTGGGAGACTGGCAAAAACCCACAATATAATTAGGACAATGCTGGGACTCAGATTAACATTATGGAAAGCAAACACCTTTCATACCACTCCCAGCTCTCACATATCCATGCTAAAGGGAGATTAAAATTCAGATGTTCATGAGCAGAGTAGCTCTTCCCAAAACAACACTAGATTAGCCCAGGTGGCCACAACCTGCACGATTTTTCATGGACTGACTTTCAAACTGCCTCATGGCTCCCTCAGTCTCAGAGATGTTGAATATCTTTCTCAGCTTTTTCCAATGCAGACCAGATGTTCTATTGTGATAATTCTCTCATGGGCCTTTTCCATTTTGACTCTCCATCAGCTAGGGATCCAAAGAGACATTACTTGAAAAACAGGAACCATAAAAGAGCCAGGAACTTATAAATTAAAACATAAACATTAATTTGTTTTCCAAAATACAGATGTCTTTTGTCAGTTCAAGCCTTGATCTCCCCACCAGTTAAAGGCAGCAGTTGTTCTGTGGAGGCATGCACTGGAAATTAGCCAACGGGCATTAACTTTTGGTTCTGATTGAACTGAGGAAAATTTGAAACAGAAACACAGAATTAAAAGTTGTGATAGCAATTATTGTCTGATAACATTTTAAAATGTTCACGACAATTCCAGAAGAAGTGTCTTGCCATAAGGAACTGTAAATTACTGAACCTTTTTGGACGAGGCACAGGAGAGATTTGGGCTGTCCTTGGTGGTGGCAGGGGTCTGTCCTTCTCCTCACCTGGCTGATATGGCAGAGGGATCAGGATCCAGCCCTGGGGAAGTGGATCCTGCAGTGCTGACTGGTGCAATGGGGTCACAGCAATGTGGCACCACCACAGCTCCAGACAAAGGGACTGGGCTGGAAGAGGAAGGGACACAAGACAGAGACAGCTTTAAAAGGACACTTTTATACATTACAAGTGCTCAAAGTTCACCTGCACAGATTTTATTTTGTATTGACATAACACATCAAGCCTTGTTTTCAATTGGCCACTGAAAATCTGGTTTTTTTAATGCTAAATCACTTGATATATCAGTATTATTCCCTCTTTTAACATTTTTATCTCAACAAAACTTTGAGAATATTTAAAATAGCAGAAAGGCTACAGGCAACCAAAGAAAACATCTATAAAAATGTGCATAATAAAGAGATAAGGATGAAAAGTTACTTTCTTTTTTTAACATGACCTACATGTGAACTAATTTTTTATCTTTAAAAAGTAGCAATTCACAAGTCACACCTCTTCATTCCCTTTGAAATCAATTTTATACACCTACACAATTCTTCTGACAGTGGATTACTGCAGGTTTACACTTAAACTTTGAGTTTCCAGTTCTGCTGTATTTTCTTGAAAAAAAATCTATTAGTATGGGAGATAAATACTACTCTTCAACTTTTAGCAATGAACCCTCTGCAACTGAACATTTTATTGTACCTAAGCAGGGAAGGTACAACAAATTGCTCTCCTTGATGTAATCAGTTCCCTTCCTTCTCATATGGGCATAAACAAACACCTGTAATTTATAATACAATCCAAGAAGTATCACTGAATGATACCCTTTTCTTCTACTCCTACAGAGACTTTGCTTTTACCAATAATTACTTTTTCTCGAGCCCTCTGCTCAGAATAAGGCAATAGTCTGTCCTTTATACCTGTCCTTCCTCTGTACTACAATGAACTCACCTGGTGGAGCAGGGATTGAGCAGCCCTTATTCCCTCCCTCGACACCACTGGAACAAATCCTTGCTTTCCAACACCCTTTTATGACAAGCTTTACATCTTCATTTTATTTTCCTAGGCTACAGCTCCTCTAGATTTCACACCATACTAATATCTGTCTCCTCTTGCTGAACTGTTCATGCTTTAATATTTAAGTGCAGGGAATTCTAAGTAGCTGTTCCCACTTCATCTGCTCTTCCCTTGAGGGGTGAACCAGCATCTGCTGTTCCCAGTCTCCTGAGGAAGAAACAACTTCCACAGAAAGGAGCTGCAAATATTCTTCCATGGCTTCACTTCACACTAAGAAAGATTTTGATTGCACATTCTGGTTCCAGCAGAATTTGCTCTCAGGTAAAAAGTGTAGTCCTGTATATTGCTAAAATTTTATTTTTCTCCTCCTTAAATAGAAGACTGAGGTAAAAGTTTGGAATATACATGTTTCTCAAAGGCTTTGCACTGACTCAGACAATTCATCAAGGATGCCCCTCATCAAAAATGTAGAATTCTATTCCAAAAGAATATGAGAAGCAAAAGGAGTCAGATATTTCTGTGAATTTTTTAGTAATGTACTGATAATGTGCATTTATAGTTGTATCTATTAGCTTATTAAGAAAAGTGACTTTTCCAGATCTGTATATGTTACAAGTGAGCTGTTCATGAAATTCCCAGACTACAGAATGATGCAAATCTAATTATTTCAATCCAATATAAAAGAAACAGTTATTTTAAACTTAAACTGTAAAGTGGCAGACATACACCCACTTTTAAAGGTAATTTTGAATAGTAAAATGTATTGCAGCTGGTATGCCTTAAAAGTGAAGAGTTCATCCAAACTACTATTGGTAAGAACTAAGGAATTATTTCCTGGCTTTGCAATGTCCAGATCCTGAACTTTTGCCTCTGTTAATCTCCTTGCTCAGTCAGACATCCACGTGTAGGAAAAGAACCCCTGTCCTCCTCCCATCAAAGGGGCTGCAATGGCATCCTGTTCACATGTCAGAATCTTCTTTACTCTTGGCACCCCTTCCAAATAAGCCACTCCAACAGAACTTTCCCTGGATACACCACCTCTGCAGAAAAAGAAGTGTCTGCAGTTTCAGTGGGAGGTGTTTCAGCTGGAGGCACTTCTGCCAACCTTTCCCTAGATGTCGCCACATTTTCTGGCCCCTTCTTACAGCCTTAATTACTACATGGAAAACCACCATGGAGGCTCCTACTTTCTTCATATGCAAGAAACAGAAAACTATCATAGAGTAACCCAATTTCTTCAGAGCAACAAAAAGACTTTCTAATTATATATTATTCTATTTAATAGAATATATCTAATATATCCTACCAATGTCATACTGAAACCTGGAAATAGCTTTTACCACAGGCTTGTTTTCACACTCTTTTTACCTTCCTAACACCCTTCCTACTAAGTGTGTTGACTCATTGAGTCCAAAGTTGCTTGACCTCTTCCATTACTTTGTGCTGAAACAATCTCCTTAAGGATATTTCCAAATTTCCAGATTCAGTTTTCATGCATACTTTGCTATTCTTTCTCTCTTAACAATTTTTTCCAAAGGATGTCCTTCTGCCCTTATATGATTTTGTCATTTAAAGACTCATTTGTACTATCCAAGTGGTACAGGACACTATTTTGGGAATTCAAGACAGGAATCAGACTTGTGTTTTAGCTGATTTGGAATGAAAACAGGCTTCTGAGGGCACCATCCTTGTTTCCACCCCAGTGTTAATATCTCTCTGCAATTCACAATTTCTTCCTATGGAAATAGTCTTTGAAAAGCACACGCTGATTTCTAGACATGAATGAAGTTTCCATATTGTCCAGAAATATGAAGACTCTCCAGTTTGTTGCAAAAAATACCAAAATATCTGCACATTTTCTAAGTATTTCAAATATCAGTTGTGCTGAAGCAAACGTTGATTGGTTGTCCACAAGATGGGGCTTCTACAACAGAGATCTTTATATCCAAATTTAAGATTCTGATGTAAAGCCTATGAATGGCACCACAGTTGACAGGAACATACTTTGAAATTTTGGCACAAGAATGGTCCTCAGTGCATTCCTCATTTCTCATGTAAAAACAACAACTCCTCAGGAAATCAAAACAACAGCAAGTGATTTTATCTTGTCCTTAACCCTTGCACTGTGCTGGGGTACAGCTTCTAAGCCAGAGGCAAAATGCACCATTGCAACCACCCTGTGTCTGTGCAGTCCCCTGCAGTCTAAATGAGTGTTTGTGGAATAGCACACAGACCAAAACACCAAACGAAGTGCCTATGATTTTGAGACATTTTCTAAGTCAATATGCAGACTTAATAATTTCTGAAGCAGTGTGCAAGTCCACTGCTAAGATGATAACACCCCTAAATAAAAGTTAAAGTAGCTCCACAGTGTGCAGCTTTTGTAAACTTAACTGAGAGGGGGAACAGTTTGCTGTCACAAAAACTAACTGTGGGCATGCACTTCACAAATGAAAAGAAAAATAATTTAGACACAAAAATTTCAAAACATTACAAAAAAAATAGACTTACAGTACCTTTAGCTGTCTTGTTTCACTGTGGTGTTTGTTTAAACAGTATGTTCTGCTAAAAAAAAGGCCTCTCTCCTCTTTTGTCACGTAAGTAAACAAGCAAGATTTTCATGTCATATAGGAATCTCCACACAACCAAAATCAGAACAGACTAAGGAACTAATCACCTTCCTGTATTCCTTTTCATACTGTTAAAGGCTTAATTTGTGATAATTTCTGTTTTCTGCATGATAAAGTTGTTTTCTATAATTCTTTTTCAGGAAACACAGTAGTGTTTGAGCATGCAAAAGCAAATACTGGTACAAATTTCCAGCCTGTCCCTCCAAGAGGAGGCTGTACAAACATAGACTAATCAAAAAGTAAAGCTAAATGTTAAGAAGAAACATTCCTGGCCAGAGGATAAAGTGAATTTCCCAAGGGCAGTCATTCACAACCACCTCATACTTTCAGTACAAAATCTTCAATGGCTCCTTCTCACATTCCTTCTGTTCAGTCTCCAGTAACTTGTCTGCTGCAATTCAGCCAGCTAAGCCGTCACAGGCCAAAGTTTCAACAGGAAGTACAAAATAGTACCCTTCAGAATAATCATCTGGAGAAGCATAAAATAAGAAAATCTGAGTAGGCAGGAATTACATGGAGAAGGACAGGGAGAGACTGGAGCTACAAACTGCAGGCAGTGATGTGTTAGGAAAAAGGAAGGACACTAAATTTGATTAATGGTGTTTTTGTACACACTAAATAATATTTTCTTTATTAAAAGCTGAGGTTTTAACTGATCACTCTGTGCAGCTGGGGTGCCATGCATACTGGAAAAGGGGACCAAAGAAGGAGGCTGCAGGACAGTGAGACATCTCAGATATTTACAAAACATGACCCACAAGGAAAAACTGAAATAAAGCATTGTAACAGTTTTCAGACATCTAAAATTGCTTTTAACAGTACAAACAAAACACATAATAGTTTGACTTATAGCAATCTTAGGGATTAGAACACAGTACCTGTAGCCATCATTCAGTATCCAGGAAGAGTTTCAACAGTTTTCTGTCAAGGAATGACAAAGTCATAGGTGATCTTGGATTTGGGCAGAGCTGTCTGGCAGGTCAATTTTGGATACTTTACTGTTTTTGGATACCTTACTGTTGCAGAGAGCTGGAGGAAGAAAAAGTGTAACAAACTGGCTAGTGGTGAACTGTGGATAGAGTTCACTCCTAGCAAATTCAGGAAATATTTGAACACGGCAAAAAGTGAAACTTCAATTAAAATTTAAAATCAAAATTTAAAACATAGATTTCTGTGTATTGACTAAGCACCACTTGTTGAAAGCCAGCCCAATACTTGTGTCCCAAAGCCCATGAGGAGGACATGTCAGCATGTCACACTGCTCAAACACACCAGATTTCCTGTGGGAACTGTCATTTCTTAGTATTCTGCTATTGGGAACGTCCCCACCCACTCTACTCACCCAATTTTTTACCTACTGACATCTTTTCTCACTGGCATTTTCTGAGGATATAAGAAGAGTGAGAATCAAAATAACTCAGCAGTAAAGCATCTGCTGTAAATCACCTGAGAGAAACAAACCAGCCAGGAACTTTTCGGGGTTATTTCCATATAATCTACTGCAACTAAAACCATTCCTGAGACACGTGACCTAATCTGCCTTTCAAAGCCTTCAGCAAATGAGATTCCCAGATAATCGTTTTCAGTGCCAAAGTACATTTCCAGTCTGAAATAATTTCCTAATGTCTACTTTAAATCTCCAAGTCCATCACCTCTTGCTCTAGACCCACTGAACATAAAGAAAAACTTATTCCTTCTCTCTGCAGAGAAACATTTTACATTTTGAAAGATAATTACTGTTTTTCCCAACACCTTCCTTTCCTTCAGACTAAACAACCCCAATTCTTTCAATCTTTCCCCTTAGATCATGTTTTATAGGCCTCTGATCATTCTTGAAGTTGAGACTGTGGCAACATATGGTACAAGGAAAAAAAAGAAAATTGATTCCTACACAGAATTCTCCCGGAAACTGGGTGACAGAGGGTTTGTTTGAAGGGGTTACTTCTGTATGATGACTGCCTGCTTTGTTGCTTGCGTGTTTTAGTGCCAAAATACACGTTCTTTCTGTTCTTTGTGGCTCACAGTGCAGGTGCCCCAGTGCACAGAATAGGTAGGCATTACACTCCTTGCTGAAAAAACATTTTGGACCTGGGGAAAACCATTGTTATGGAAGGTAAGCTATGCTTGCCAGTAATGGAATACTTCTCTTACCAAGATGGTATCTTTGGGATAAATTGGTATAAGTGGCATATTTGTGATACCAGCATAATTTAGGCAGAAGTTTAAGTAATTTTTAGAAACATGAGTAAAATCCTGCATCACAAAGTACATTTCAGGGAAATATATTAGTTCCATAATTGCTTTCTAGTGCTGCATTCACTCTGTCCCAGAAAGCAATATGCAGTTGTAATATACACTGAGAAACGTCTATGGTTCAGCTAAAATCAACAAAACTAAAAATAATCATGTGCATTTTAGAAGATGCCATGTTCTTTATAACCAGATAAATTAATTCCACCATTCCCATAATCAGATTCACATACATAATAGAAGAATGTAATTTACTTCCATTCTCCAGAGGTATACAAAGTCTTTTTTTTTTTTTCCTTCCAGAAAAAGGTTTTAAAATTGCTTTGTGTTCTATCCGCCAACATTACCCGAGCAAACAGAGTTTTATCTCTGAACCTCTGGGTACCATGGCATGGAAAGATTGCACTCAGAAGTCAACTGGGCTTCTGTGTATGAACTGGGAAAACAATCATATCCAGAAGAAAGATAAGACATAATGAGAGATGATAAGTGCTGGGAAAATAAGCTTGATGGAAGAAAAGGAAGTGAAAAAACTTTTCCATGTTGAGGACAGAAAAGGTCTTTCAAAAACCTTTGTTAAGCATGACATATTAAACATATCCAAAATGTTGTCCAACAATAACATGAGCACGGATCACGTAAAATGGTGTTATCAAAGGGTCTTTCATCTAAATTTAGGCAATTTATGACATAAATTTTGCAGAGGATCTCTTAACAAGAAGGACTTCTTATGTCCTCAGTGGATTTTAGATTTTTAACGCCAAAGGAAACAGATTTTTCAGATAAACAGTTCATCGTCTCTGGCTACCTCATATGAGCCTTAAGAATACATCAATATGTCACTTGCCTCCTCTCATATCAAATGCCTGTAAAATAAACTTGGTCTGCATAGTTTAAAACTCTTTTTTTTAAAAAAAAATCATTCTGTTTTGAAAGATAGATTTCACTCAGAAGATGCTAGCTAACAGAAAGGTGGTGAGGACAGACCTATGTATGACATTGTTGTATTGAAGTGTACCAGAACGTGAATTCTGTACACTGGCAAACTTCAGAACATCCTGATTTCCATTCAACAGATTAAAGCCAACTCTTTAAATGTCCACAGGTGAGAAAAAGTTTCATTGACTTATGTTGCCACTTCTGTACTGATACTAGCCTGACACGAATTTCTGTATTTGCTTTATTTTTTCCATCCGTAGTATCTGTGCAGCCCTAAACCCCTACATGAATCTTTCTTCCTCTATAGGAGCATTTTAAGACACTAGAAAATCCATTCTGACTATTACTTGTTCCCCAAACTAGGTAGAGGAAGTATAAACCAGACAGAACTGAAGCAATCAGTTAAACGGCCCTGTGGTTCTGCTAAAACAAAGAAACCATACTCATAAATCACATCCTCGGAGGACCCATCCCTCTGCTTCCTTGTCCCCATCCTGCAAAAATTGTGGTGGCAAAAGGAGCAGGTTCATAGCTACACCTCAGCATACACAGGGATATTAAAGGCATTTGTGAACACAACAATTTTTCAATTTTCCATCTCCTGGACCTTTGTACAACTTGTGAGCTGGTGGTGCAAAGCCATTACTAATGACTTATCTGACATAACAGGAGTGAGTGGCTGGGAAAAGCAGTGCCTTCAACCACCCCCTACTTCAAAGAATCCAGGCATGACTGGTAGAGCTCTTCCCCTTTCAGAGCTCTCACAGGTGCAATCTGTCTTGTTGCAAGGCCAAACATGAACCTCTGCTTCCTCTTTGGTGTCTGTAAGTCCACCATGAAAAGCAGCTCTCTTCTGGCACTTGACAAGTCTGCATTTTTTAAAACATGCCCAGATTTAGAGCATCCTGTACCTACTAAGGAGAAAGTTTTAACTGGGATTAGCAGCCATTCCTTCCGGAGATCTGCCTCAAGGTAAATAAATGCACCTATACCATGAGATACGGGAAATCCCACCTATGTCCTGACTGCCTACCAGGATAAGACCAGTTTGCACTCTGATTTCCAAAGAAAGGCTATTTTGGCACGTCAGCCAGCAGGGAGGCACCACAGGTTTCCATAGGACCTCCTGACTGTAGAGGATCACAACTGTGATCACAGCCTCACACCAAAGCACAGTGTGACCTGTGGTTTTCACTGAACTACATCAATGTCACAGGCCTGAGCCTCAGAGAGAAAACAAAACACGAGATAACAGCTGAATAAATAAGGCTTTCTAGTTGCCCGTGCTCTCATTCCCAATGGTGCCACTGCACAACTGGAAATACCAGTGACAGCGCTGGAGTTCCATCACCAGGTTCTCACAGCTCTGACATTGCCTTAACCTTGAAATCCTGACTGGGTGAGGCAGTGGTTCCCTGGATCCCCTCCAACAATTGCTTGCCTAATTCTATTAAACCAAGCCAACAGACTCATAGGATAAACACCCAAATAAGCAAGCCATGTACAACAGTCATTTACAATGCACCATTGCAAAGCCTATCTTGAAAAACACTCAGAATCCTGCCCCATTTTCAGTTTCCTTGAAAAGCCTGAATCTGTGTCAGAACACCATAAATGGCAGCAATCACAGGCTTTACACCAGGGTTGTTTAACTTACCCATCGATAAGCAGCAAAACAAACCACCCTGAACAGCAATAAAATGAAATCTCCAAGAATGAACTCATAAGGATAATCAGCAAAAAGTCTGACCCCAGACTGAGGTTCATCAGCAAAGGTTGTGGAGCAAAATATGTCACTGTGAACAGTCCACGGATACTCTGACCCAGGATGGGAGCTCTGGTGCAAAGCAGGTCTGAGCTGCATCAGCAGAGAACTCGGTGATAAGCAGCAGCCACACTGTACTGCTTTACAGACTGGACTTTGCAGCTGCTGACATCTGCACCACATTTGCTCCACTTTAAAAAGTACCTCCTTTTAAAACTGGATTTTAAAGTATTTTCTGTGATGTAATTCTGAAGGCCAAGGATGAATTTTGAGGAACCGAAGAACACTGATAGGTCCATCATACATTCCCCTCTGTGTGGGTCAGTGCTGGCACTCTAACACAGTGACACGGGCATTCACCATCCTCAAATTTGCATTCATCAGTACTTACCTATACTTATATCCAAGTATGAATATATTTTTATGAAGGAAAAAAAAAAAGAGCTGATTATATGGCTTATTAGAGTACCTGCTCATCTCATAAAAAACCTTTAGAAACGCAAAAGCCAAGTGCCAGTTGCTGATTTTGCTCCACTCTGGGGTTCACCGCCCTGTGCCTACACTGACCCTCCGCTCACTCCAGCGACCAGCACAGGGAACCCCCTTCCCTGCCTGGGGACCCGCCCGCGGGGGAACCCTTGGGAAGGTCTCGCACAAACCTCGCACAAACCCCTCAGCCGGGGAGGGCCGGGTGGAGCGGGGGGTGCCCGCTGCCGTCCCGCCCCGCCGGGCCCGAG